CAATCACATTCATAATTTTTTTCTTTAATTTTTCAATTCTCTCTCGAATGAGAAATTATTTTTGTTGCGTTCGTCTTTCTGAAGCTAAGTTGAGTTGACGTAATCCCATTCCTATTCTCTCTCCTTTCGCATATCTTGACGGCCGCGACGTGACGCGGCCCAGGTGAGAACATCGGCCAGGGAAAAAGAAACAGGAGGAGGATAAGGGACAAGGATGAAGGGTGTCCGGTATTGGGTAAGCGACGTAACACGCGTGACTCGTCGGGAATCACGCAGCACGCGCAGGTACGCGGCTCGCGGCTAAATGAAATTTTAATAAAGCCACGCTCTGAAGAAAGTGCCGCGCAGGGTGAAGGGAATGATCCTCACAATGGAACAATGGCTACGAAATCGTCCGAAGGCGTCGACGCGCTCTTCTTCCAAGGAAGCAGCCGCGCCGCGATAATTATATCGAGGCGGCGCGGCACGGAATCTCGCCAGAAAAACTTGTCTTCGGCCCTTAAGGGGCCGAGGAGTCCCCAGATTCGCCGCTCGCAGTTGCCTAACTAAAGGCGAATTTACACGGTTCGCTCCTGATGATTACCCCGGATGAATCATCCAAAATAAATTGGATGAACGCGTTTTTGTTCGGATGTATCGCGCTAAAAGTGGGCTACCCGATTCGCGGCCGATCCGACGCGGGCGTTCGTTGCCTCTTAAAAACTTTAACGTGAGAAAGAATGGGATGACGTCGGGAGGGACTCTCTTCTCGTACAACCTATACAATAACTCAATTACATATCATCCTTACGAGTAAACATGCTACACGTATATGCGTACAGACGTTTCCGTCAAGTTTGTGTGCATATATGCACTTCTCAACTATAAACTCTCAGTTTACAACTGTAAGCGCGTGTGGCTGGCTGTCGCGGTTCCCTAAACTCTCAGCTCTGAGTTCTCAACTTCCAACTTTCAACTTTCATTTCGCGTTAACCTACAATTCCTCATTTCGAACACGGAACTCGCAATTTGTATTATTATTGTAATTAATTCAAATATCAAAAGCTCGATCATAAAACCGTTGTATCGCGTGTAAAACGTGAGTCGTACTAATCTCTATAACTTGGATTAAACAAAGAAAAGATAAAATCCTACAATTCATTATATTTTGACTTATTATAGATGATTGTTTAATATTTTAATTTATATGAATTATTACGCGATTTATTTTGCTTTCACTTTTTAATAAATTTACTGCACGTCAATATTGTCAAGAATCTATCGTGTAAATTCATCTTCTGCTTCCATTCTGGCCCTTTGTCTCCCCTGTGACAGGGAGCGCGCAGTCGTTTCAGTTCGACGATCGTCATCGCGAACGAGAAACTCGATCGGCGAGGGAAAAAGGCGAAGCAGGCGCGACGCCGCTAGTTTTTGTCGACGACGGCCGTTTCTTTGTAAGACGATAGAATGGCATTCTAATATCGGCACCGTGCAAGAAATCGGTGCGCTCGCGCGATAAAAAGACCGATGGTATTCGGGACAAAAGCGACCGAGCGTTAGATAATTAGCAAAAATTTAAAGTCACCGCTATGATTATTCAGCATTTTCTGGTCATTCAGCGCGGTTATTTTCTTTAATAAGTATAAGAGATCTAAAATGTATAGGCCACACACAAATTTGATGGAAATTAAGATCGAAAATTTTAATCAGAGGCGTGTAAATATTTTTTCATATATCGAAATAAATAAACCTGAATATAATAAAATAAAAATTTAATGTACACAGCAAAAATATTCAAATGAATATTAAATCTTTTTTTATGAAAATTTACTACTTTATCGTCTACTTTTTTGAGCGAAGTAAAATATTAATTTTACTAGACTCATAATCTATATTACATGACTGATCTATTCAATCTCATTATCCAGATTTATGGTACAATGGAAGTGTACAAGTTCTTCATCGAAGCTTCTCGTCTGCGCTTTTTAAAAGTCTTTCTAGAGTTTCTAGTCAAGCATGCCTTGAACATAGTACGCGGCCTCGTAAAATAGCAGCGTATAATAAGCTAGTGAATACTTTCATAGTTCACGTTATGTCGATAGTGCTGCCTTCCGCTTTTTCCAGCGTTTCGTTGTGTTATGTTGTAATATGCCTGCATAACTTTTTCGGTACATATAAAAGGTTTCACGTATGTGTGAACCTCATCCGGTTAGAACTACTTTACATCGGCATGATAGATTAAGATGGAGATTAAATGAATCATTCAACCGAGAAGAATAAAAAAATCATGGCTCAAGATAAATGTTCATAATGTACTATTAAATTAAAGAAAAGTAGGTAGTAAGTAGCGAACGATTTAAATCACTATTGCAATCAACCCGTAAAAAAAGAAAGAGAAGAAAGAGGAGAAAGATATGAATCGTTTTAGCTCTGTAATTTTGGTGATAATATTAACTTGGCATATAAATTGCTAAAAGAACTTGGCGAGTTTAAATGGCAAGTTAGCGCTGCCGGATCGGATCTACAGTCGTGCTAGTCGTGACCGGTGAAAAGCAGAATGAATTAGCGAGGAGGATAAAAAACGCATGTGGACGCGCGTCGCCGCCGGGCCGAGTAATAAATTTGTATTTCACGCGAGTTCGCAGGATCGTTGCTGCGGTACTTGACGTCGACTAACTGTAAATACGAGTGGTCACGCATGGGAAAGAGCGTTCGCCGGTCCCACGATCGCCGTCATTACGAGGATCGATTATTATTACAAGAGGTGTATCCAATTTCGCGTCATTCGCGCGCAAGACCGAATGAGGTTGCTGTAAAAGCTCGCGCGCGCGCGCGCGCGCAAGGCTGGATACTATCAGGCAAATTACGGTGTACGGTCTATTCATTTACGTACGAAGTCGATGACCAATCAGTCGTTAACTGCTAACGGTAATGACTGCGGCACTGCGAGTAAATTTAAAACGAGTAGGACAGGCTAACCGGTGCCGATGATGAGGCGCCTCCGCATACGTTGGTCAACGCTTGTCGACGAGCAACCTATCTCGTTAGAGAAAAAGCCAAGCTGCCTTCCCCATTCGCACGCATCTAAAATATTGATGACCTCCGCTGCAAGTGTCGATGGACCGCATTCACGTCATGACTCGTTAAGTAACGGTTTAATATCCCGTATGCGACACGTCATCCGATATCAGAATTTTTCGATGAATATTCGTTGAGTAAATGTTAAGTAATATTAATCCGTTCGTTTCTGAAGCTCCAATATTGGAACATCCGATATTCTCGATATTACTGTCACGAAGTAAAAAGACGTTATTGGCGATGTATTTTTTTATATTCTTCCCATTTTGCTCTCACGTGGAAACGTTTAAAAAAAATTTTACCCAATGATAAAAAGTCGCGAGAAGTTTTTTGATCTTGAAGAGACTTTTCTCTATTCCGAGATACATCTTTCCGCTGCGACGGTCGATTCTAACTTTTCGGGAGGAGGGAAAAAGCGTGTCGCGGGTGCAAGCGAGTGTGCAGAGCGTCTCGACGATGCATTATACTTTATGGTCCCGTTGGCGCGGATTTTAACGTTAAGTCGTCGCTTGTTTTCAGGACCGGCACGTGAAGGACGCCAGCAGAGATCCGCAGATGGATTCGAGCCAGGACTACCGGCTGTTACTGGGTTACGAGAACAAGACGCATACAGTGCTCCGTTTCAGTAGACAATACGACACATGCGACCCGCGGGACCTGAAGATCACGGTAGGTGGATGCGATTTATGCAGCTCGAAAAGAGAAACGCAGAGCAATTTCCTGCGGAATACACAAAAGCGTGCGAGATTTACTTGACGCACTTATCTTATTCTATTTTTGCCGAATAAATGCATTTCTATTTCTTGGAGATAGATTAATAAGGTTCATTTATAAATGGAACGGCTCGAAGAAATTTATTTCTATGAATAAATTTTGTATGAATTATTTTATTATCATAGAAGGATTTACTTTGCCAGAATACGAACGTTTTATCTAGTTGCCAGCGATAAAGATAAATAGGATTTTGTTTCCATGTTCCATGTTCCAGAGAAAACAGTTTTTTTTATTACTGATGCTATTTATGCTTTTATACGTTGAAATAGAAAATTTTTTCATCACCCTAATTAATACAAACGTCTATTAACGCAAACGTAATTTCCTTTTCGTAAATACTTACATTGCATTTAGTTGAAAAAAATGATATGCGCCGGATTCAAAGCACGAATGTAAAAATGTTAAATACAAAAGTATAGTTAATTACTGCATTTAATAATTACGTCCACGGTCGTAAAAATGTTGCGAATGTTTGTACCGTGGAGCTGGACTTGAATTAAATTCGGCGGCTCGTTATCGCAATTTTCCTGCACGATATTCCGTACTCATTGCAGGACAGCCCGACCTACTTCTTTATTTCGTTGGTAATTAACTCGGAAATAGATTGCGCGATAGAACCGTCCTCGTTGCTCGAAGGTGCTCGGTACGGGCTTAACCCGAAGAAAAGAGATTACGCCAGTATTGCGATCTGTTTTAAGCTGCAACGTGAAATTTATGGTGACCGACGAGGCCGCGAAGACCTAAACTTTAAATTCTCTTCCTGGTTACTAGACAGACTAGGACTGCATGCTTTAATAATGTCATACGATACGTAGTTATATTTCTTGGTAAATTGCAACTAGCAAAATAAAAGCACGTTTTCAAAAGATTGGTTAGAAGAACTGGTCAGTGCGATTGGCGTTCCTCACTTTTTCCACTTTTTTAAACTTGCCAAGCGTGTCTTGTAAGAGAGGATAAGAAGAAGCAATAACATGGTATTTGTAACCTGTTCGTTTGACGCGGCTAAAAATAAAAATATGAAATTTCTTGTAAAAAAATTGTACGCCTTTAACTCTCGAGCCTGTAATCGCGCGTCTTTAACTCTTAAGTGGAATAGCAAGTCTCTGAGAAAGAAATTTTATTGCATTGTACAATTCTATCGTTCAGAGTGTTACTGCTTTTGAGTTTCACATAAATTCGTTTCAGTATGAAATCTCTTTGTACGCTTGATGCTTGCAGAAAGGTACAATAAAAATATTGGTTTTGTATAACAGGTATATCGTTTGTTTTTCATACAAGAAAAATATACACATAGTATCTTTGAATATTACAGAAAGTGTTTTAGCGCTCTTAGACTAAAAAATATTAACTTCTTATTTTTTAATTTTTTCTTAACCACCTGAAAAAGATAAATATTTATACTAAAAATTTAATTGCTCTTTAATCTTTTACAAAAGTGAATGGATGAGTGAAGAAAAAAAAAGTAAGACTTTTCCAAGTTATCAAAGCTCTTTTGGAGTTGATTATACAGCTAAGCTGATTGTATATAGTTAGTTTAAGAAATATGCTCTACAGTTATTGAGGAGGTAAATAAGTATATTCTTTTCGCTTGATCAGCTTTTGCCCCGACTGTTTATTAGCCCCTATTATCATCACTTCGTATTATCACTCCTACGAAATCTTGTGACGTGTTATCGACCATCAGCGCTTAACACACAATTGTCGAGACTCGATTTTCCACTTGATCGTATTATTATCATGCATCAATTTCGGGCGAGCTCTCTGCGATCCGATCTCATCGTTTGCCCGCGCGTGCATTTATTCGCTACAGCCGCATCGCTATCGAGGTTGCCGTTCGATGCCACGTGGATAAACGCCGAACGTGTTCGTAAATATTCGCTCGGGGTAAATCGAATTCTCCCGCGTTACGTAACATCGAATTAAACGATATTTTGGTTAATGCTGAAACGGATTTTCAGTTAATGCTGAAACATTGCTTTTTTTCAATATACCAATTACCAGAGATCATTTTTCTTAGTTTACGTTACAAACCATTTATTTCTATATTATGTGATAGAATAAAAGAGATAATAATAACCTAAATTGTTTTAAATACCTCACACCTAGATTACTGATGTTTTATTATTTTTATTTTAAAAGAATTTTATATATAATACATATATTATATTTTAAAATACAAGGATAAAAATATCTTGATGCAGAACAAAAGATCAAAATTGTGAGAAAATAATTATTTAAAGTAATAGCTAAAGTATGAAAGTTTTATTTTTGTGAATTTGTAGGTATAGTTAAAAAAATAATATATTATAACAAAATCAGATTCTTTAGTAATTATATACTTCTATATACATTTATTGTTTATATTATTATAACTATTTCACTAATTTATTTATTATCTTTAATGCGATAATTTATATTATTTCGAATTGTTTGCTTTCTGCTATTAAAAGCTATTAAGAAACTACTAGAATCTTTAATAATAGTAATTGCTATTTAAATTATAATAAACAATTCGAGATAATTAGAATCTGGAAGAAAACGGGATCGTTGTCTGATCGCCTTATCCAAATCGCCAATCTGCCAAGACGATCTACTTTTTCCCGGGAACGCCCGAGGAATTCCTCGGTAATTGCGATCGTCTTAAGTATCGTTTTCCTCCGTGTCAAGAGAGAATGGACGAGGACGACGGTGACGACAACGATGTCGTTCCTCGACGAAAATGTCCATCTAGCGGTTGAGTCATCGAAATACTTGTGAAAATAAAAGCGGACCGCGATTCCATCGCGACGAGAAACGATTGAGTCAGCGGAACCTTCTCGGGGCTTTTATCTGATTGTGCAGGGCGTATCGATACCTGATATATAATATTTTTGCGAGATCATCTATCTCGTCGAGGAACGTCGAGGGTGAGTACAATCGTAGGTGCAACGGCAAAATTGGCTGCGAGGAGATACAAAATGCAGTCCACAATTCTCGTGATTTTTAAGGGAAAGCAAGGGCTAGTGGGGCTTGCATAAGAGATCATATAAATCACTTGTAGATTTTCTTTATACATATAAAACGTTGTAAGTGAAATTTCAAATATCTTATCTAAAACCGATACATTTGCAGTCGTGTTTCATTAAGCAGCGAGTAATGTTTTAAAACTGAATTTATGGCGTTTTCAATATAATATTCGTGGATGGGGAAAATGTGCGAGAGAATTATGCGAAAAATATCGTGCAAACTCGCGCATATCGTCATGCTTGAATCTTTCAATTGGAATATCATATTTTTCCGCGCCGATATTTTCCCGCGATCTTCATCGACGTAACAGAATACGAAGATGGATGCTTACTTTTTCGACGAGATACACACGGCGACATGTTTGTTCCAGAAATACGTTCGCGAAATGTAGTGTTGTGCCGATGTTATCAAGAATCCCGGTCCCGTTTGCGTCATCGATAGAAATCAAATATTGAGATCGCCTCAGGGAGTTATTACTTCTCGAGTTTCGTCTCTGCGCTCATACTTTATCGCGACGCTTATCTCGAGTTTCTCTCTCCCGAATTTAGGAGCCGGAGATTTCCACGATCGTACGGAGATCGGCAATTTTTCCAGATCTCCAATTGCGCTTCCAAGTACACGGTGAACGGTAAACTTTCCACGTCGTTCATTCGCCAAACATATTGCTTTTAAACGTGATCATAACGTCTATGGGAGAAAATAAGTTTCTACAGTGCACAACTTAATATATCCTTACTTGAAATTAAGAGATAAATATTCATATACAACATTTGAATATTCAAATATATCATTTAATATTAATGCGTACATCTTTTCAGGTCAGTGAATTTAAATACACTTTTGGAACGGAACCATGAAATTTAGAGTATCGTAAATAAGTCATGATGAGAATTGTATCTTCTGGTGAAATTAATCGATTTTTTTGTACATCTTTGCTCTTCGTATTGCTAATTTTTACGGTCCTGTAATATCGCGTGTCATTGTAATTTCATTTTTAATATCTAGAAACGTCTTAAAACAGAGCAATAACATTTCTATGAGCCGCGGAAGGCACCGCGTGACACTACGTAGGAAATAAGAACAATGCCATTGTGCTGCGAAGTTGGAATAGTCTCATAAAGGGTTAACTCACCCTTACGCTCGTAACCCAATTTCACACACCTTTCCACCGGCGCAGACATAGCCGCACAACTTGCAACTGGAGTTCCGAGACTACGCGAAGCTCTCGATCAATTTTTCTAATTCATCCCGCAACGTTTCTTTCCGTTTTTTTCCCTCCCGTCAGATTCTCGCACAGTGGAAAATCGCGCGCGGTGAAAATCGTGGAAAAACCTATTGTTCCTAGGGAAAAATGTATCTCGGGACGAATCCATTCTTCGCGGCAGAAAAATATTTAAATTCGCTTGACAGCATTCGTATATTTTTGTGCTTATTATGTCAACAGAACTGAACGTTTTATCCTCGTCATGCAAACGGATTGTCTCTACGGCATATTTCGTTTCGCGACGTTGGCTTGGCTTTTTATTTTTAATATAATTGTTTTAGGAGCGTGGCCGCCCGAGAACAAATTAATTAGGGTATCGGTGAATGTTCGTGCTGAAAACAATGGCGAGTTAGTTACCGGTAACTTGCCGATGGACCGATGTGTTAAGCCTCGCTCGTGACCTCGGCACCGGCCACTTCGGCATACTGACTACGATGCTACCTAATACATACAACGATACCACACTAGTGTATCAGCTTTCTAGCATGCCATTGTGCTTCATGGTGGAACCTTCGCGTCAAACTTTGAGGCACTGTCTTCTGCTCGATTTGAGAGATGATATTCTCTCAACGAAAATTAGTTCACGTGAAATTTTCGGATAATAACACGAACGTTCGTTTAAAATCATGTTAACATAAACTTAGAGCGAAATTATCTGAGAGACCAAGCCTTCATTACTATAGTACTTAAAGTAATGAACAAATTTTATTAATCAAAACTGTATACTTCAATTATACATCAGCTACATTTATGAGAGAAAAATTTTTATAGAAAAAAGTTTTATTTGAAATTAAATGCTGACTAAAACTTTTTCAACATTAAACGTTTATTTAATCGACAAAAATATAACTCCCACCGTTTTTATATCGTGCAATTAATTAAAACGTATTTGTGCCCCTCGTAAGTTTAATTCAAAACTTCAAGCTTCAACGTTTAAAAACTCCGGTAATTACCCTTCATTTTGCATTATCGTGAAAGAGACGCTTACTTCGAATTTGTCTAGAAGTATACTTCTCTGAAGTTCGACGCAAAGGCTCAAAAAATACATCATATATTCCTTACTTAGGCATACGTATGTATACCTATATGGATATGCGGAAAAATATATAGCGTCTATCCACGGTGGTATACATATTCAAACTTCCTCGCCAGCGGAATTAATCAATTTTTTCAATTTCACGGCGCTCGTACTATTCGACTCGGTCATCGCGGCGACTTGTAACGATATGGTGTTACTACTCGAACGCTCGGCTATTCCACTTACGTTGGAGTATCGCGACGGTAGATCTGCCCGGTAGATTTATGGCGTGGGCACCGTTTCGACGGAATTTCGCGAACAGTATACCGCGCAATTGCCACACTCAGTTACTTTTATTGCCGTGTCAATTCGCGGGCTGGCCTTTCGTCACACGACTGCTGGTTACGGCGCAACATGACTTTCGGTTTGATAGAAGTGGAATGATACATTGGACAGTATTACGACCGCGGAATACGCGACGGTATATTACATTTTGCGTTAGCGAGAGGATATGAGAGGGTATGAGAAACTATAGGAGTTGACGTGTCGAGATTTTACGTTCTAGAGAAATCTCTCTTATATCTTATATCATTTATTTTCTAATTTTCTATTTAATGTTTATTAAATATCATATTTTAATTTTCGATTTAAATCATTCGTATTAACTGTGTATTATTAATATTTTGAAATTGAAGATAACAAACAAGTAAAATATATAAAT